TTTTTTTTTTTTTTTTTTTAAGCATAACATTTCAAACATTAAACTAAAAATATAATATGCCTTTAAGGAGGTATTCAAAGTGATTAAGAGTTTCAAACTCTAAGTTAAAGATTTTGAATTTGAATCTTGAGACAAGTGAGGAGGGAATAAGAAAAGAGAAGAATTAGTCTTTATCATATAAGCCACCACCCAACGTAAAAGATAAAAATGTATTGTGAATTTTTTCTAGGGGAAATTACACTTAACCTACTTGTGATTTAGGATGAGTGCATTTAAAGGCCTATGGCATCAAGATGTGCACTTAAAGACCTGTGTTTTGAAATAAGAGTAATAAGACACTTTTACTGTTAAAAACCTAATAGAAAACTTCACTTTTTATCTTAATTCCTCTAACACCCTTTTTGCCTAACACCACCATCTTGCCCAGCACTAAAAGTTGAATTGTAGTTTGTTTGATTCATTAGAACCACTTATAGTCTCATCATTGCTTGGCAACTCATTACCATCCATTTATCAAAACACATAAAAAATTGATAATAATTAATTTATTCATTCATTTTAACTAGCCACATTCAAGCCACATTCAAGCCACTTGCATAATTCAATTGAAAAAAAAAATTTAATTTGCACATGTATAAAATATTCATAATTAGCATGTAATGTTGAAACTTATTAAAACTAAATATGCATAAAATCAAGAATATATTATTTATAACTGTAGATGATTAAGGTAGAACCTTCAATTTTCAAATGAAACCCTCACTTTTTAAGGCCTAACAAGCAACAAAATTTCCAATCGAACACAAAAAAATTAATAAAAGAAAATTAGAAACAAAGTTTCACTTTGGAATATAAACTATAATAGATTAAAGATTTTGTTCAATTACCTGCAGAGAGTTATTTTGTTTGCTTGTCATCTTCACTTGAGTTGATTTTTAAAGATTGTTATGAAAGAGAGTCTGTGTGACGGTTCCTATCCAATGGTTAATGTAACCCCTACATATCCATTAACCTATATATATGCCTACAAGTTTGTATGATTTGTACATGAAAGAGTATATGGTGAAATAAGAAATTCTTATTTTTGTTTATTATCTTGCTACTTTTCCTTTTATTTTATAATACATTATTAACACGATCATCCTCGCCATTCAATTTGTGGTAAACTCTTAAGGTAATCATTTGTTTTCTAGTTTTAATTTGATTTCAATATTTAACAAATTTTTGCAATCACAGTGTCAAACTTGACAAAACTTGAATTTGCCACCCTTGATATAATGGGTTCAAATTATTTGCCATGAATATTTGATACTGAAATCCATTTGGTTGTAAATAATCTTGATAAAACAATTATTGAAGGAAATCAAGCATCTTTACAAGGTCGCACTAAAGTGCTAATATTTCTTTGCCATCATCTCCCTAAGGGATTGAAGGCTGAATATTTGATAATAAAAAATCCATTTGAATTATGGCAGAATTTGAAAGAAAGATATGATTACCAAAAATTGATGATGCTGCTAAAGCTCATTACGAATGGATGCATCCACGATTGTAAGATTTGAAATCTAATAGTAAGTACAACTCCATAGCATTTTGCATTTTATCTCAATTAAAGTTAGGGGTGGGCACGCACGCGGGCAACCGATCGGTTGCCCGACAACCGCAGCAAAATTGGGCTTGCGGTGCGGTTACAAACGGGCTTCGGGCCCAAGGAACGGTTTTACGCATCAACCGTTTATAATCGGTGCGGGCTTCGGTTCCAAGCCCAACAACCGAACAACCGAATAATACACCCGAAAACCCGTATTATTGTTTAGGAAAATACAAAATATATACCTTCTAAAACACATTGGCACCTTCACAATTTGCTGTGGGAAGGAAGGCGCATTCAACATCTAACTCAAATAAACACCCGCTTGACACTTGTAAGCCAAGTCTGGGCATCATCGGAAAGGGCTTTCTGCGACGAAGAAAAACAAATGAGCTCCGGTACAAGATTCGGAGTTTACGGAGCTCGAAAAGCTTTATGAGTCTAGAACCCAACATAATCCGAGAAAAACCCAGATCTAGAACATAATCCGAGAAAAACTCAGATCTAGAAAAACCCAGATCTGGGTTTTGAGAGAGGAAGAAGAAGGGAGAAGAGAGAGAGAAAGAATAAGAGAAAGAAAAAAGAATGATGAGCAGGGAAAGGAAAAAGATGAAGTTGGAGAAAGAAAACCCAGATCAAAGATTGTTTTTTGGGGGAATCCATGGATGAGGTGAGGAGGAAAAAGGCTGGGAAAAAAGAAGGGGCGGAGGGATGAGAGAGAAGAAGGGAGGAAGAAGAAGATGAACAATATAATAATAAATTAGGTGAGTTTTTATTTAAATAAAAAAAGCCACGTGGAAAAAAAATGGTACTTAAACTTAAAATTAAAAGAAATGGGTCACAAAGTATTCAGTAGATATTTGGGCCAGAAAACGAAAGGCCCAAATCCAAACAAAAAAAAAGTTGCTAAGGGTTCAAGGCTGGAATCGGTCAAAACCGAAACCGATGTCAATCGAACCGATTAATTTAGTAATCGAACCGAAAAACCGAAATATTATTCGGTTCGGTTTTTGGTTGTTATTTCACAAAATAAACAACCGATTAAAACCGTCAATTCGGGTTCGGTTCCAACCGAACCGAACCGATGCCCACCCCTAATTAAAGTTATGCCAAGAAAAAATTACTCATGAAGACATGTTAGAGAAAACATTCTCCATTTTTCATGCCTCAAATTTGCTCATTTAGCAACAATATCGAGAGGGTGGCTTTAAAAA